TGGGCCTGGCCACGGCTGGGCCTGCGACACGGAGAAGGGGCGCTTCAGCAGTAAAAGAAACCTCTGTTTTTCTCGGTCACTTGACATGTTCTTAAACTGATCTTTATCTACTGAAATCGCTGGTCTTCTCTTTCCAGGTGACAACATATGACAATAGCAGCTTCTTATCCTGACAGCAGGACATGCAGAACAGGATTCGCAACACAAACCAAATCTGCCAACACTTCATAGATGTACTGTGCGTACATCTAGAGCGTTCCTGTCCTTCCAACCCCTCCCAGCCTTCTCTGAGTAGCACAGCGAAGAAACCTGTGTCAGGACTGACAGGATTCCAACAAATCCCTACGTGGCTGAGCCTGGGAAAAAATGGCCTCTTTCTCTGCATAGTCACAGGCTGGCAGATGGAAAGGCAAGTCATTTAACTGGGTCCTACTCCCAACCTGTTTTTCAGATGGTTTGGATCCACAGAGATAATTTAATTCTAAACAGGCTTTGCTGTCTGAGCTCACAAGGCTGCACAGTGTTTTAAGCAACACTGCTGAGAAATTCTGGAGTCTCAGGAAAAGTTCTGATGTTGGTAGGTGAGACCTTGTTGGTTCTGGTGCAACTTTGAAGTCTAGGAGGTAGGACTGAAAGCAGGGAATAAAGCTCCCTAGACAAGAGTCTCTGCAGCAGAGGTGCTGAGGTGATGACGTGGGGATGGGAAAGGGGAGCAGGTATCAGCCTGGTGACAAACCATGTGGGAATGTCTGACTGTTCACCCATGCAACTGTCTTCCCCTCTGCAGGTTTATCCCACCAATGGGCCAAAAGTCTCAAGAATTCTAGTTTACAAGGCAGTTAGCATGAAGCGAGCAGCACTTCTTCCCTTCTCTGTCCCCATGAATTGAGAGGTAATTTGAAAACAAGCAGTGTTTTCTGGACAAGCTCATCTCTCTGGCTCCTTTTGGTAATAACTGCTACTTCACCAGAGAATGGGGCTAACTTCCATGAGAGACTGTTCTACAGGTGCAGTGTTTTCTGGACAAGCTCATCTCTGGCTCATTTTGGTAATAACCGCTACTTCACCAGAGAATGGGGTTAACTTCCATGAGAGACTCTGTTCTACAGGACGCAAATATGCTGGGGGAGGAATGGAAAAAGGTGCAAAAGGGGGATAAAAAAGGGGTGGTGGTGGTTACTGTGCACTCCCTCCCCACGCTCCCCGTGTGCCCGCTGCCCTGCGGCCGGGAGACGTTACCTCTGGGCAGCTTCCTGCAGCTTCCTGGGCTGCCTGGCGCTCAGGTAGATCACACTGGCATCTGCCACTTTATTCAGGTCGCTCTCGCCTGCGGAAAGGGAACAGAAGAGAACGGTAGGAGGGAACCTGCTCAGCTGCTGCTGCCTAAAAGGCTCTGCTCTGAATTGGCAGCAAGTGGCTTCTGAGCCTTCCAACTGTCTGACCCAGGGCTCTTCTGACCTGTCCCCTTGAGCATTTGCTGCAGAGCTGAGAAAACAATCGAGGGCATTGAGAGAGGACAAGAACAACTAGGAGCAAACCTGTTCTCTCATCAAAGCTGTGTCCAAGAACCAGCCCCAGGAGAATTTCATTGGTTCATTCAGTGCTGCATTGACAGGGATGCATCCATACAGAAGCCTCCAAACAGAACCAGTCAACCTAGCCTGGGGTTTATCCGGGCTCCAGCTCTCCAGTTAATTAAAAACAAAGCTTGGGCCAACCCACCTGGCTGCAGCATTCCAGGAACTCCCCCTAAAACTCCCTTCTACACACAGGTGAGCTGAGCAGCCCAGTTCTACAGGGTATTTGGAATATCTTCCACCCAACTGTTCCTTGGGTAGAAAAATGACCATCCTCTTTACAGGTTCTCAATGAGGAGAGATTAATGCCCGGCACGACCTGAAAGGGATGAGGCTAAGGAAGATGAGGGAACCAAGCCTATGGAGCAGCAGGGAGATAAGAAGTAAATAGGGGCCTAGTTAGCTCTGCTCAAAGGCGAGGGGTTAAACCAGGTAGAGATCTCACGCTACCTGGCGCCGCGCTCGGTACTCACCCATGTCCAGCTTCTCGCACAGAGAGCCCAGGCCCTGCAAGACGGCCAGCTGCAGCTTGAAGGCCAGTGTGTGGCTGTACACGGGCCCAGCCCTGGCGCTGGCGGGCGCCTGGCTGAGCAGGGAGCTGGCCAGCTTGGGCAGGACGTCTTTGGAGAACCTTTGCCTCAGAAAGTCCCCGCACTTTTGAGCCAGGGTGCACAGCACCTAATGGAGAAAGAGCAGTCAGTGCAGACACAGGTGCGAGGAGTCTGCTCGTGCTCAGCAGCCCTCACAGCCCTGTGGGCTGCTCCTTCTCCCCTGATAGCTGTCTGCAGCTGAGAGCAATGTGACTGTGCCTAGCAGCCCTCCATTCTGAGCAGAAGACGTGTGCTTGATGGAGAAGGCCAAAAACCAGAACAAAACAAATGGCAGAAGCTGTGGTAAGGGCTAAGTTGCACTACGCAGTACCTCTCACTGCTGCTTAAGGCTGCACAATAACTGTTCTCCCCTCTCCTGTAATAAAAGCTAACACTGCCGTTTCCTGCAGGAACAGAGTCAAGATATGATCTGTGGACAAGCTGTGAGGGTGGCACCTGGGTGGCATCCCCTGTTCTGAGCCACTCTTAAGAAAACCAACCAAAATCCCAGACACTGCTGTGCCAGATGAGCGCTCCGCACGCAGCTGCAGCAAGAGCTCGGCTGCTTGCTTCCTGAGCACTAACTTGAGGGCTGCTGGCAAGGAGCCGCTGCAGTACCTTGAAGGCCCTGAGCACTGCCAGGGGGTCGTCATTGATCAGCCGGGTGACGAGAGCTGGCCAGACGCGATGGGCCATGGGAAGCAGATGGTTTCCGTGAGGATGCAGGACAGTTACACAGAGCTCCAGCACGTCCAGGACCTGTGCACGGGGTGACAGACTCTCAGAGTGCTGCAGGGCCAGCGGCGCCAGGCATTCAGCTGGATCCCCAGAGCTGTCTCAGGGAGCAGGGAGGAGGAGGGCTATGAAGGAAAAGGATAGAGCTTTACCTCAGTATGGACTGGGATCAAACGAACAGACCTGCTCTGAGTGCAACACAGAGCATGGTGACATAACTCCTGCAGGGCTGGGCTGCCTGGGGACACCGTTCCTGTCTGCTCCCACGTGCCGAGCGTGCACGAGGCCCCGGCACCGCTACGGAACAGCCGCGGCACCGCCTAGCGCGGCTGCGGCCTCCTGGTGGGAATCTGGGTTATGCCTCGCTGCTGCGTTTCTCTCTTGCTTTGCACTTTAAAAGAGGCCACCTTCAAAGGATTTTTCATAATTAAAACCCCCAGACTTTCAGCCCTGCTTATCATCACCTAGAAACTTCTGAAATGTTTCTCGGTCCCTGCACTACGGCTTGAGAAAAGGGGGATGGGAGTCCTAGATGGGAGAAAGATCTTTCTCCTCCTCAGACTGAGGCACAAGAATTAACTATTACAAGCACCAAGAAAAGATTCTTGGCACAAAGCCACTGCTGAGACTGCAGTCTGTGCTGGGAACGGCAGCCAGGAGCCTCTTGCCAGTGCTTGGAGGGTCTCTCTTCTACCCCAACTGCTGCAGAAAGCCCGAGGCGCCTCGTGGAGGTGCTGATGAAGCACCAGCCCCTTCCTGGGCACCACCGTCCCTGAGGCAGCGCCTACGAACCTGCAGGCGCACGCGGAGGTTCCCGTGGGAGAGCAGGTGGATGCACCTCTCCAGGATGTCCTTGGCCAGCTGTGCGTGGCTTGGCAGCTGGGGCTCTCCTTCTGCCTCAGGGTCCTGCAGCTCAGCCTCAGCAGGCGGGGGGACCAGCTCTGGAAACAAAGCCATGATAATGAAGGTCCTGGGAGATCCCAATACCTGCCACAACTCTCTTGCAGAATCCCAAACAAGAGCTCAGGCATCTTTGCTTTAGGTATAGGCAAGTCTGCGCTCGAGTTCTGTGGCTCATTTGGTGACAGTGTGGGACCAGGGAAGGAAGCTTTGCTTTCCTCCCTGGACAGTATTGTTAGCCTGACATTTGGAGCCTCTCCTCACCACAGCCTTCTGTATTTCCCATTGATTTTTATTAAAAATGAAAAGACTGGGTATTTAAAGATGATGTATTTAAAGGTCAGGACTGCAGCACAGCCCATTCCAGAGACAGCAAACATTCCCATGTGGATGTCAGCAGGGCTTGCCAAGGCCAGGCATGAAGTACTGTTGTTAATGGCCAGGAAGGAAATGGCACAGGGATTTTTGAGGTGAAGGAAGGAAGATGCAATAGGTTTCTAGAAAGAGGCAACTTTGGGTCCTGACCTCCTGTGTAATTGCCCTATTATAAGGTGAAGAAAAGCACAGGTTTTTTTTTGTGTCTGAGAGCTAGCTTTGATCTGCAACCCTTTCACCTTCTCTTTGTGTGCTTTTCTGAGCAAGAACACCCAGGAGCCCCTTGAACTAAGGGCTAAAGTCTGCTCGCAGTGGCCTCGAGAAGGCCGGGGACAAGGCAGCATTTCAGCCTGCTCCCAAGTGCCCATCTGGCAAAAGAAAACCTCACGGGTGCCTGTTCCTGCCCAGGCCGAGCACACTGTTCCCCAGGCCTGCATGGTACCGACCTGCCTCCTCGTCATCCGAGTCATCCACGTCGCCCTCCGCGATCCGCTTCTGCCTGACGTAGTCGAGGAAGAACCGCTCCAGGTCCTGGCTGGTCGCCGGTTTTTTCCCTGGCCCTCCTCGCTGCAGGCTGCCCCGAACCACCGCGCTGCAAAAGAGGCACCCAGAGGTCACAGAGTCGTGATGTCCTCCTGCGAGCCAGCGAGCTGCCACGGATTCCTGGGAGAACAACGTGGCTTAAATCTCCCGGGACTGAGCGGCTGCGCGAGGCACTAGCTGTCACATCACCGTGACCATCCCGATAGTGTGAGAACGGCACCCCCCAAACTGGACAGGAGCGCCCCTCGCGTGCTCCTCCACTTCTGGGAGCAGCAGATCCATCCTTGCAGAATGGGCACAGGCTCCTGTGGTCCTGCAGTGCTCAAGGTCAGAGAAACTGGAAACTGCTTGTGGAGAGTGGCTGCTGCCAGCACTCGCTGCCCGAGAGCTGGTCCCCGAGCACAGCTGTCCCCTGCCGCCCTATCCCCAAGCACAGCTGTCCCCTGCCACCCTGCCTGTCCACCTGATGCCACCTCTGCAAGGTCCCACGCAAGCTGCAGCGTCAGAGCCCGGCATCTTAGGGAAAGCACGGCTGAATTATGCAAAGTAAATGTCATTTAGATACCTAAAGCTGTCATTAACGAGTAGAGGACCCTGAGGAAGGTGGAAGCCTGGTTATCATAAGACTGGTCAAGTGTAGACAGGACATCCTGGATGACATCCTCCACGAGCGGCAGCAAGCTGGCATCCGAATGCCTCAGCATCGTGTCCAGGACGCGGGACGCGTGCGGCTGATGTGCCAGCTGGCGCAAGTTCAAGGAAATCCCGTTCACCAGGTAGTCAGAGTTCTCATTAATCAAGCACTGCATGGAGGCATAACCGCAGGCCTCACATATGTCCACAAGTGTCCCCACTGCTGTCTCGCTGATGAGCAGAGTCTTGTCACCAGCCTTCTCCAGCACTGGGTACAGGGCTGAGAGCAGAAGCAGGCGGAAGCCCTTCCCCAGGACGGCAGCAAAGCAGCTGATCCCCTCCAGCTGGATACAGATCTGCCAGATGTTGCCGTTCATGGTGCGGGTCGAGAGCTGCGGGTCTGGGGATGGGATGAGGAGGCTGCTGTGGGCACTGCCCAGCTTGGCAGGAAACCCCGGGGGCTGCACGGAGGACTCGGCGCCAGCCTCTCCCGTGTCAATACTCGTGACCAAATACCAGTTTGCCGGGTCTGTGTACTCGTCGAGGATGGAGGTGATGCTCCCTCGGAGATCGTCCTCGCTCACCGCATCCTCCCTGTCGCCAAGGGCCTCCACGCCCAGCCCCGCAGCCCCCGCGACCAGCTCGTTGAGGACCATGGCCGCCTGCCGCCGGTACGCGGCGGACTCCGCGTACAGCCCCAGGAAATGATCCACCAGCAAGTAGAGGTTCCCGTAGTAGCCCAGGACACGGCACACTTGCTGCAGGAGCAGGAACACCTTCTCCTCCGTGAAGAAGCGGAAATATTTCCTCTGCCGCTTCCCCGCCTGCGGGCAGCCCGCGGGCTCGCGGGGGCTCTCAGAGCCCCAGCGCCGCTCCTCCACGATCTTCACGTCCGTCACGTCCAGCTCCAGGACCTGCATCAGCGCCTTGGAGACGCGGTGCAGGTGGGCAGCAGAGTTGAGGACTATGTTCATCTTGGGGCCCAGCAGCTTCAAGTAGCCGAGTAACAAGCTCAAAGTAGCAAATTTGCCCTGGTCGTCCTGCGAGTTCATGAGGCGCGGGAGGGCTGTGGCCAGGGCATGCAGGTTCTCGGACAGCACGTCAGCCAGCGCCCTGTTTTCGGTGACTATCCCCTGCTCTGCAATGCTCTGCAGAACCTCCCTGCAGCGGGTTTGCACTTGGTCGCTTTCGTCGTTAACCAGCCCAACCAAGGCCTTGAGCAGGTGAGAGAAGGAGTCGAGCAGCGAGTGCCGGCACTTCTGCAGCAAGTGAGAGACCAGCTCCACCAGCTCCAGCCTCACTCTCCAGTGCGGGTGGACGGACGAGGACTCGACTATCTTACGCAGGAGGAGAGCGAGCTTCTCCGCGGTGCTTTTGCTCCACTCAGGTCCTCGATGGACCATGAGCTCCGCTATTCTGCTGTCCTCCTCCGGGAGCTTCTCCTGGCTCTCGGGGACTTTCGCCAGCTGCTCGTCGGCCATCACGAAGCCAACGACGTGGCAGAAGAGCCGCATGGCGGCCACGGTGGGCGCGTGGCCCTGCTTGACGTCGGCCGTGGTGACGCGGGTGAGCGCGAGGGCCAGGCCGGGCAGGAAGGCGGCGAAGAGCCCCCCGCAGCGCTGCGCCT